AAAAGAATAATTGATTACTATAACCAACACTGTATTCAACTGCTTGTTGATTTTAGTGCAATAAGGAGGGCCCACGAGAGTCCCCAGGTGCATGAATGGAGCTGGGCTGCCTGGAGCCAGCACAGGGCCTGGTTGGACACACCTGTCCCCGCCAGTACGTGGAAAGTGGAGAGCCAGCAGGCAGAGGCCTCATGCAGTGGGCAGGCCCTCCCCCAAGAACGCACATGCACCAGCGCCTCCAGAGAGCCAACGGGCTTGCCAGTCTCCACCCACCGTGATGGGGAACTGTATGTGTTTGGGCCCCGGTGCCCAGCAGTTTGGTCCTGCACTAGCCTGGACATGGCCGGGAAGGTGTTTTTTAGGTGGGATCAGCATTTCCATCAGTGGACGTGAGAAAGCAGACGGCACTCTGTGATGTGGTGGGCCGTGTCTAATCAGCTGATGGCCCGAGAAGCAAAGACTGAGCTCTTCCAGAGAGGAAGGAATTCAGCCCCCAGACAGCGACACAGCAACCTTGCCTGAGCTCACACACACCCTGTTGGGTCTGTTTCTCTGGGGAAGCCTGGCTGCCTTACTCACGTGGACTGCTCACCTGCTTCCCTGGGATGGAGGCTGTCTGCAAAGCTGAGGCTCTCCAGAGAGGCCCATGCAGCTCCCCGCTTTTCAGGCTGTCTCCTAAGGCCAAGCCCCCCACAAGCAAAGAGGTGCTGCCACCACGATGTACGGGTGTGCCGGCCAAGGGTGCCGACCACGCCCTGATGCCTGCCTTGCCCCTCAGCCAAATGTCCAGGGCAGGGGAAGTGGCATGAGAGGGGCTTTTCAGAAAACTGCAAGGATCACTTTGACCCAAACTGGCCACTTCTTCATTGAGGGTTCCTTGCCCAGGCAGTTATATTTCTAAATGCTGATCCAATAGGAACCTCCCCTACTGTGCACCCCGGGGGACTTCCTAGCAGGTTTCAAAAAGAGTGTGAGCTCCACAAAACCGGACCTCACCATAAATGCACAAGTCCTCTCCTGCCAGCTGTTCAACAATGACACAGTAAAATCGGAAAAATATGATTTCCAAAACGAACAGCAGAAGACATAGCCAGCCACATCTTTTTTTTTTTTTTTAAATAGAGACAGGGTCTCGCTCTGTCACCCAGGCTGGAGTGCAGCGGCACAATCATGGCTCACTGCAACCTCATCCTCCTGGGCTCGAGCAATCCTCCCACCTCAGCCCCCCAAGCAGCTGGGACTACAGGCATGTACCACCACACCTGGCTAATTTTTTAATTTTTAGTAGAGATGTAGTCTCACTAAGTTGCCCAGCCTGGTCTCAAACTCCTGAGCTCAAGTGATCCACCCGCTTCACCCTTCTAAAGTGCTGGGATTACAGGCCTGAGCCACCGTGCCCAGCCCAGGCACATCTTTTTCTGGCAGGGAGAGGGACAATGTAATGAGGAATTTACATTCAGAATTCTTCCTCGTTGTGAAAAGCACACATCTCACCTAGAACTAGCCACATCTCTAAGTCCAAGCCACGTGTGGCCAGTGGCTACCATGCTGGACAGCACAGAGCAGACTCTGCTCAGAGCCAGAGACCCCCGACCGGAACCCACCCCGAACGCCAGGTACAGCTCCTGGACCACAGCAGACACTCACGGGCTACTCGGAACAGGCATGACGGAGACGTGAAGTTACAGAAATGAATAAATAACGCACGGGGCTAATTCAAACAACCACTGCGTGGGTCGCATCTTCATGGATCCTCAGATCACCCTGGGAAGTCTCTGTTTGCTATTTTCGCAGATCTGCAAGTCGAGGCTCAGAGACTCTGTTGGCGGGATTGGAGCCCATTCTCTAGATTCCACCTCTCCTCCTCCTGCCTGCTCTGAGTGCTTCACGGCTTGGGCCCTTCCACAAAACGCCCGTGCAGTGACTAACTTTTCACAGGCAGCCGTGAAGCACCGCACGCACCCGCACGCCGGGCCCAGGCCTTCCACGCAGGGGCTGGACCCGCGCTGCTAAGCGCCCACGGACCACACCGCGCTCTCGGCCCAGCAGCAGTGCCCGAGGCTCCGGGTCCTGTTTGAAGCCGAGCAGGACCTTCGAACACAGAAATGGATTTCATTTCTCTCCTTGAAGGGTGAGCCAGAGGGCAGGAAACACCACTTTTGTTTAAAAATGAAATCATAAATGTATTATGGGTTCAAAAAATATATGTTCAAGTCTTCATCTCTGATAAAGGCCCATGAATGTGGCCTCATTTGGAAACAGGGTCTCTGCAGAAGTGATGAGCTAAAATGTGACCCCATGGAGTATGGCAGACCCTTCATCCAATCTAACTGGTGTCCTTATTAGAGAAGACACACAGAGACACACGGGCAAAGATGATGTGAAGGCTGACCCCCAGGGAGGAGACCACAGGGAAACAGAGGCAGAGATGAGAACCACAGCCCCGCAGGCAAGGACGGCCAGCACGAGTCAGGAGCTGCAGAGTGGCGGGGACAGCCCCTCCCTGGAGCCTCCCGAGGCACACGGCCCTGCTGATGCCAGTTCAGACCCCACCTCCAGGATGGGGAGAGGATGAGCTTCTGCTGTTTGAAGCCCCCTACTTTGTGGGGCTTGGTGACTCAGACCCCTACTAAAGCATGGACTGGGCGGCAGGTGGATGGCCTCCCCCTAGACAGGCACCGAAAGTCAGGAAGAATGACGTCTCCTCTCACCAAGTCCATGTGAGAGTCAGGCAGCCAAGACAAGCTTCTGCTTCCGTTGCCTCCCCACTTCCTCTCCCCGAGGAAAGCGGGGGAAAAATCAAGATGATGATGAACTTCAGTGAACTCCACTAAAGGAGAAGTCAGTGAGGATGGGCCAGAGAACACTGAACTCAGACAACCAAAGCTGAGAGAGGAGGAGGCAGGGTCACCTCCAGGCCCGTCAGCAGAACTGCTCGCTTCCGGAAACAAGTTACAGCTCACAGAAATCACATGCACAGGAATATCTAAAATGGCTTTTTTTTTTCGGGGTGGGGGGTTGTTTTTGTTTATTTTACTTGTACTTTTTTTCTTTTTGAGACAGGGTCTTGCTCTGTCACCCAGGCTGGAGCGCAGTGGTGCAATCGTAGCTCATTGCAGCTGTGACCTCCCAGGTTCAATCCTCTGCCTTAGACTCCCAAGTAGCTGGGACTACAGGCTGGCGCCACTACACCTGGGTAATTTTTATTTTTACTTTTTTTGGTACAGATGGGGTCTCACTATTATTGCCCAGGCTGGTCTGGAACTCCAGTGCTCAAGCAGTCCTCCCACATCGGCCTCCCAAAGTGCTGGGGTTACAGGCGTGAGCGACCACGCCTGGCCGCTTCACTGTTGTACATCAACCGCATGCCACTAGTATAAGAATAAGCAATGCCCTCTGACCCAATTTACACAAGAAGTTATCCAGTTCACTGTCCTTCTTCAGAAATATGAGAAGAGGCGGTAACGACTGAAAAAGTTATCAAAGAAAAACGAATGATTTGTCCAGCCAAAGAAGCCATCAATTGTCCACGCCTTGAAGAGGAAGCTGCCATTAAACTCATGAGGAGGAAAATGTCTCGTCATGGACAGACCAACCTCAGGGTGGGACCAACACCATCTCCTAGACATACGGAGCGGCATGCTCCATCAAGCACCTGTGCCTGGCCACCGCGCCTGGCCACCGCGCCTGGCCACATCAATGCATTTTTACCCAAACCTGCATGTGTCATTCCTGTTGTCTTTGCTCAATGATTTGAAGGATAAACTAAAAACAAAGCAAGTGTCCTAGGCCATATGAACCACTCAAATCACTACCTGCAGATAAAGTAGTTCCAAACCTGTGGCTCATTACTTGGCTTCTGGAAAAATGACTAATGTAAAGCAATAAGATGCTTAGTTCTCAAATCACGTCACTCTTCAGACATGAATTTACTAAAAATAGTTCAATGGCAAAACCAAATTACTCAAAGAGATGTTCTTTAATACTCCGATATTAACAAAAACAGGCAAGTCCCAAAAAATACACTTTTATAACAGATTTAGCTTTAAAACAGACACTGGCACATGCCAGCATATCTAATCCAATCTCCTTTACCTTCAATAGATACTTTGTTATCCTGTAACAATGAATTTTTAGAATGAGATTATCAAACGTGCAGGTATTTGCTAACGTCTCCAAATAAAGTAAAACTAAAATTATTTCAGCTCTTTTCAAAACACATTCTAACCTGTTTCAAAGTCAAGACTTAATTATAAATATCATATTAAGAAAACTTTTTAAATCTAAACAAGGAGACCAGGTGCAGTGGCTCACGCCTGTAATCCCAGCACTTTGGGAGGCCGAGGCAGGTGGATCACCTGAGACCAGAAGTTCGAGACCAGCCTGGCCAACATGGTGAAATCCTGTCTCTACTAAAAATACAAAATTAGCCAGGCGGAGTGGTGGGTGCCTCTAATCCCAGCTACTCGGGAGGTTGAGGCAAGAGAATCTCTTGAACCCAGGAGGCGGAGGTTGCAGTGAGCTGAGATCGCACCATTGCACTCCAGCCTGGGCAACAAGAGTGAAACTCCGTCTCAAAAAAAAAAAAAAAAAAAATTAAAATGGTACATTTTGTTATGTATATTACACCACAATAAAAACCTCCACACTATATATGGAATATGTACGTATCTCTCTCTCTCATGCAAAATAGTGTCTACGAAGGCGGCGAGGAGCTGGAACAGCATGCTCTCCGCCGCCCAACCCTCATGGGGCTCGTCTCTGCTGGGCTGCAGCAAGCCCTGCGCAGCTGCCTACGCCCCTGGAATGGGAGTCACCTGGCCATCGGGTTAAAGTGCAGAATCTGGCTCAGGAGGCCTGGTTGGGTCCTGGGTTCTGCTGCTGCCAGCCTGAGGACGTTGCAGAGGAGGAGACAGCCACGCTTCAGCCTCTCATCAACCCAAGGTGAGAGTCGACCACCCCTCACTCTAAATAAAACCTGACAGTTGATCTTTTCACACCTCACCACTCTCCTGCCTTCCTCTGATACTGTCCACCTGGTCACGGTCACAGGTCACAGCAGGTCGCAGCGCAGCAACAGATTCCTCAAGCAGTGAAAGCTGACCCCCAGGCCTTAGGAACATCCCTTCCGCCTGGGGCTGTGGCACAGGGTAGGGCCAGAGTTAATCAGATTTGGAATTAATTAGGTTTAGAATGTGCTTTTGCAACTGCTGTAGAAAAGTGCCTGGCTAAGTAAACAATAGGGCAACAGCTTTAGCAAATGGGAACAAAGTGTCTTCAAACAATCCAGAAATTGTTATCAGCCCAGGCACAATAGCAATACAACTGCCACACTGAAAGCTCACCTCGTTCTTACCTTCTCATTCACACAAGATTCACCAGAAGAGTTCCAGTGACAATGTCAACTTGGAAAGTATTTAAAACTTCCTCCATTCCTTCTGACTTCTCATTTTCCAGGACAGGCAGCCAGGTTAGCAGGGAACTGCCTGCCCTAATCTTGGTATAAGTGGAATTATCTGGGCCAGAGCCCTTCGCCTGCCTGGGGCTCAGCTTCCTCAGTGTCCCTGAATCAACTAGATCTGATTCCTTTAACCAAGTCAGTGTTCCTTCCACAGACTTCCCTAAGAGCTGACTGCGAGTTTACTTCATGGGTCAGGCAGAGTGTCAAGACACACACACACTCACACACATGCACGTACATGCCATGCACACATACACCTACTCACAGTTGCATTTCTTTCTCCCCACTATCTGTGTCCACATTTTACATATCTGGAATGAGAGACCCCAGATGCTCACCCACAGAGACAGTAACCAGTGATCACCACCAACAGGAACAGGGTGCAATCAGCCTGGGGAAGGAACTGCCAAATAATAAAGGTGTTTGTTGGTTTTGTTTTTTGTTGTTATTGTTGTTGTTTTTAATCAGAACACTTGCTGTATTTTCTTCTCAGCTTTACTGGGGTATAAATGACAAGCAAAATTGGTACATATGTAAGATGTACAACATGATATTTTGATGTATTATGAAATGATTACCCCTATTAAGCTAATTAACACATCTATCACTGCACATAGTTACCATGGGTGTCCAGTGAGAACATTTCAACTCCACACTCTCAGCCAATTTCAACCTATGACATGGTACTGTTAACTACAGTCACCTGCCTGGGGCTCTGTGTTAGACCTGAAGAACTGATGCAGCCTGCAGAACTGAATCTCTGTAGCCTTTGATTAAAAGCTCCCCAATTCCCTTTCCCCACCCACCTGCCAGCCTCTTGTAACCACCATTCCACTCTGCCTCAGTGAGTTCAACTTGTTCAGATGCCAGGCATCAGTGAGACCACGTGGTATTCATCTTTCTGTATCTGGCTTATTTCACTTACATGATGTCCTCCAGGTTCACAAACCACAGGATTTCCCCCTTTTTTAAGCTTGAATAGTACTGCACGGTGTATATTTACCACATTTTCTTGATCCGTGCACATCAATGGAAGTTTAGGCTGATGCTGTATCTTGGCTACTGTGAACACGGGAGTGCACATGTCTCTGAGAAATACTGATTTCCTTTCTTCTAGACAGATACCCAGCAGTAGGACTGCTGGATCATTTGTTAGTTCTAGTTTTAATTTTTTGAGGAACCATCATGTCTTCCACCATGCCACACCCATTCACGTTCCCACCAGCAGCGTGCGGGGTTCTCTTTTCTCCACATCCTCACTAGCACTTACCCTTTGCCTTTCTGATGACAGCTATTCTAACAGATGTGACCTGACAGCTCATTGTACTTCTAACCTGGCTTTCTCTGTGATTAGTCATATTGAACATGTTTTTCCTATACCTGTTGTCCATTTGTATGTCTTCTTTTGAGAAACGTCTATTTAGTTCAGGACTTTTGCTCATTTTACTTTTTTTTAATTTTTATTTTAGAGACAAAGTCTCACTCTGTCACCCAGGCTGGAGTGTGGTAGTGTGATCTCGGCTCACTGTAACCTCAAACTCCTGACCTCAAGTGATCCACCTGCCTCAGCCTCCCAAAGTGCTGGGATTACAGGCACCCAGCCTGATTTTTGTATATGGTGTAAGACAAGGGTCTGGTTTCGTTGTGCATATGGATATCCAGTTTCCCTGGTACCATTTATTGAAGAGGCTGTCGTTTCCCCAAAGGTTCTTGGCATCGTTGTCAAAGATCAACTGACAGTAAACATGTGGATTTGTTTCTGGGCACTCTACCCTGTTCCATTGGTCAATGTGTCTGTTTTCATGCTGGGGTCATGCTGTTTTGATTACTATAGCTTTGTAGCATATTTTGAAGTCAGGCAGTGTGATGCTGCCAGCTTTATTATTGCTCAAAATTGAGCAAGAATTTTGCTGGCTATTTTGGGTCTTTTGTGTTTCACATAAATTTTAGAATTTTTTTTCCATTTCTGTAAAAAATGCCATTGGAATTATGATAGTGATTGCATTGAATCTATGAGTGGGATTTTAAAGCAATTCTACCTTGACACATGTTAAAAAATAATTTTCCAAAAAGGGCAAAATCATGACTCTAATACAGATATAAAACTAAAGACACATTAAAGATCTCATTTAACTCATTCAATGAAGGAGCCAGGCCTAGGTCATAACCAGCTCAAAGTCAACAAGGCATGGAGACGTGTGGCATAGACAAACAGGAATACCAGAGCCTGTGGAGGGTGACATCTAGGAAGACACATGCAGAACTAGAGAGGAGTGCCACAGTGAGAGTGGAAACACAGGCAAAGTGCCTCACTGAGGGAAAGTGACGCACCACACACCCTCAAATCTCAAGTAGGTCTTAGATATGGTTTGGCTGTGTCTCCATTCAAATCTCAACTTGAATTGTATCTCCCAGAATTCCCACATGTTGTGGGAGGGACCTAGGGGGAGGCAATTGAATCATGGGGGCATAATCTTTCCCACGCTACTCTCGTCGTAGTGAATAAGTCTCACGAGATCTGATGATTTTATCAGGGGTTTCTGCTTTTGCCTCTTCCTCATTTTCTCTTGCCACCACCATGTAAGAAGTGCCTTTTGCCTCCCACCATGATTCTGAGGCCTCCCCAGCCATGTGGAACTGTAAGTCCAATTAAATCTCTTTTTCTTTCCAGTCTCAGGTATGTCTTTATCAGCAGCATGAAAACGGACTAACACAGTTTCCATTAAAAAATACCTAAGAGTGTAACTGGGTTGTTTGTAACACAAGGGATAAATGTTTGAGGGATGGATACCCCATTTTCCACAACGCAATTATCATGCATTGCATGCCTATATCAACACATCTCATGTACCCCATAAATATATACACCTACTATGTACTCACAAAAATTTAAAAATTATTAAATAAATAAATTAGATCTCTCAAATTAGTGCCCATCCTAGCACCCCCTACTCTTCGTCACAGCCCGTGTTAGAAATTGTATTGTGAATGCTCTTTGTCTGTGGTCCGTCTCCCCAACTGGGCTGTGTATTCTATCTGCTGCCACTTGCCCACGCTTAGCAGAGCGTCTGATTTATGGGCAGTCCTCCAAAAAGTGCTGAATAAACGAATGAGCAAGTTCACACTCACTGAGTGTTCACTCTACACACATCAGGATATTAAAACTAGAAGGAGCGTGAAGTTCCTTGTGCTGAGGTGGTGACTGAGGTGGACACATGGGCCCCCCGGAGCTTGGACAAGTCCAGAGAAGTGCATCAGTGCCGCCTCGGGAAGATGATAAAATTCCTGCACTCCCCCTCAAAAAGAAGGAAATACAAAGCAACATATTAAAAGGACACAATAGGAGTCTATAAAATAGGCCCTGTAATGTTAAGGACCTCTTTACAGTCCTTCATTCTCTATTATTAAGCAATTAATCACTACAGAGCCTTGATGTGGGGGAAAATGTTGCATTTACTTCTGAGCTCTACATTCCTGTTTCATGATCTGACTCCACAGAAACACCGTGGATCCTGTAGTCTTCACTCGGAAACCAGGACCAAGCATACAGTAAGGCAGACAAAACGTCAATGTCCAACCAGAGCCGTTCCAGTCCATAATTCTGAAAGTGATTCCTTCACATAGCAGAGAAACCCCATGAGACAGGCACCAAAAAAAAAAAGCCTCAGCCATTTAATCCTTATCACCCTTTACAAAGGTTAAGGGGACCTATCATGTGCCAGGAGAAAGAAGATGACATTGTATTACTGAGAGCCGAGAACCATGCTGGCCCCTGTACATCTGTCATCTTATTTAAGCTGTCCCTGGAAATAAAGTTTACTACTACAGTTTTAAGACGAGGTCACTGAGACTCAGAGACAGGATCATATCTTCATCATGTTTTCTACAAGTGCTCCAACTGATTCATCTAAAAAGAAAACCTGCTGATGCCAAATACAGCTGTGAGGGAAAGGTACAACCCCAAACTCACCTATTTGGGCAACGTAAGCCATTTCAGGTTATGCCATGACATGGTAGCGTCCCGAAAGGCAGTTCCAACCCACAGGGAAGCACGGTTACACGAGTCTTCCATTTGTACGTAGATATGCCTCATTTTTTATTGATGCACTCAGCGGCTCTGCAGGTCACCCTTGGTCTGTGTGACAGGGCCACTAAGCGTGTGTCATGGCATGGCATTGGGTGACACACAGGCTCACAAATCTTAACTGACCTGGAGCATTTGTGAACAGTACAAGCTGAACTTCTGTTTTTTGTTTTTTGGGTTGTTTGTCTGTCTGTTTTTGAGACACGGTCTCACTCTGTTGCCCAGGCTGGAGTGCAGTGGTGCAGTTACGGCTCACTGCAGTTTCAAACTCCCAGATTCAAGTGATCCTCCCACCTCAGTCTCCCCAGTAGCTGAACATACAGGCGTGCACCACCATGCCTGGCAATTTTTTTTCAATTTTTAGTAGGGACAGGGTCTCGCTATGTTGCCTTGGCTGGTATCTATCTTCTGGCCTCAAGGGATCCTCCCGTCTGAGTCTCCCACAGCGCTGGGATTCCAGGCGTGAGTCATCATGCCTGGCCAAGCTGAACTTTTGTACCACAAACAATAGAAAGTGTTCTTCCTTCTCAAGGACTCATATGTCAGAAACCTGGAATGCCACCAGTCAAGGCCAGGAAGCTGACTGTTGTGCCAAATCACAGCGGTCTACACGGCGCCTCCTCTAACCAGACTGTCCTGAGCTAGAGCAGCCAAGGTCAGGGAAGGGAACGGACCCCTGCCTCAAACACACTGAACCAGCTGGCTCTGCATAAATGAGAAAGCGCATCTCAGACACGAGGTGCAGCAGGCTTCCTACGTGAATGAAGCGCGTGTAATTCTATCTGGGGAAAGTGTTAACAGGAATCTTAATACATTGATCTTGTTAGTGATGAGACAGGCCACAGGTTGAAACTATTTTTCATTTACCACCATTGGGTGCAGCAGGACTTTTCTAGTTCACAGGCACCCCATGCACAAAACAGAATGTAGCCCGACCTACATTTATTACATTGTGTGAGTAAATGCACACCTGGAGCAATTCTTTTCCGGTTTCACTCTCACTTTAGGACAGAAGTCACTTCTATGAAGGACACAGCAGGCGTGGTGAGATTAAGTGCATAAGTCCTTGGGCAGGTCTGCCCAGATCAGATCCCATTCCACCACTTCCTGGAGAAAAACCTGGCTACCTACTACAGTCCCAGAGAGGATTAAAGGAGCTAAAATGGGGAAGCGTTTTGCATAGCCTCTGGCACATACTAAGTGTTGCGGAAGCATCGGCTATAATTTAAGGCCAAAGCTATAATATAAGGCCAAAGTCTGCAGACTGGAACCTCAGTCTTGGGAAGACTGCGTGACCCCACAGGCTAATGCTGGCTATCAGCCCACACAACAATATTGCAAATAGGCCATCCCATTTATTCTTTGTATCTAAACACTTACTTTCAAATATAGGTAAGCATTTCAGATATAACCTGGAGCACAAACAGTTTCCTGTAGCAGGTATTCTATAACTGTGTATCTACCACCAGAGCAACTCTTTATGCCCGTGAAGGCTCTTAGTAATAAAATTAAGAACTTTCAAAATATAAATAGGAAACCTGGTCAACAGAGTACAAAAATAAAAGACGCTGTACCCTCAAGGCAACTTCAGTTAGAATGCTACATCTTTTTGATCCAACAAATTTTTTTTTTATTTTTAAATAATGCAAGGCAGAATGACAGATTACAAAACACCATGGTTCGGCCGGGTCCGGTGGCTCGCGCCTGTCATTCCAGCACTTTGGGAGGCCCAGGTGGGCAGATCACTTGAGGTCAGGAGTTCAAGACCAGCCCGGCCAACATGGTGAAACCCCATCTCTACAAAAAATACAAAAATTAGCCGGGTGTGGTGGTGCGCACCTGTAGTCCCAGCTATTCGGGAGGCTGAGGCAGGAGAATTGCTTGAAGCTGGGAGGTGGAGGTTGCAGTGAGCCAAGATCACACCACTGTACTCCAGCCTGGGCAACAGAATGAAACTCTGTCTCAAAAACACACAAAAACAAAAACAAAAAAAACCCAAAAAACTCCTGTCATTCTAGAAATGTCCGCAATTCAGTCTCACCCGCCTCCATCCACATGAAGGCACCAGGAGAGCACGGTGGGCGCACCTGATTTCTTGGTTAGGTCTGTTCTGTTCCTGTTTTATGCGGGGTGTGTCTGTGTACACTGCTCCCATGTGAGGGGTCCTGGCTCCATCGCAGCCTCTTAACCAGCTCAGTGCCAGGAAGGGTGGACTCTGACAAAAACCCACCTCAAATCTGCACTCCCCAACCTGGAGTGCAACTGGGGCAAGCTCCCTAGGCTCGCTGGGCCTCAGCTTCCTCATGTGCACCGAGAGGTGAGGATGACACCAAGCACACAAAGTGGATGCCGGAACAACAGACGATGCCA